TATATATATATATATATATATATATATATATATATATATATATATATATATATATATTGAAAAGTAAAAATATTATTCAAATGAGGAAAGAAAATACTGGTACGGAGAGGTGGCCAGCCCCAACACAAAGGCCGAAAGAATAAGAGAAAAAACATTCATAAAAGGACAAAAGGTGAAAGGCCAAAAGGATGAGACTATATAGACCATCATGAGTAAACACCAGCCAAGTCATTCCAATGCAGGTCACTGTTCCTCAAAGCATCTTCCATCATCATGTGCATTATTTCCCAGCTCTGTCCTGGTACCTTGTACCTCCGTCCAGACTCAAGGAGCTTCCTAATACAGCTATTTGAGCACAGAGGCCAGCCATATACACTGAAGGCAGTGTTGAGAATTGGAAAAAACCAGCTCTCTAAAGAGGATATGCTCCAGCTCCAAATCATTGACATTCGAACCATTACAGTAGCTAAAAGAAATGAGCTAAAGAAACAAACAGTAGTAAGAGATAAACTTAAGCAACATGACAATCAATAAGCATATTCTATCTCTTCCTCCAACCCATAGTCTGAAAATTGAGACTGCTTCTTTTTCTTCTTCATTTTCTTTTTTTGAGTTTTGGTTAGAGGTTTGCTATGGGGTTTAGGATCTTCTGCCTTGTGGGGACAACAAAGTTTGAAGAAATTGATAACCTCGTCTTCATGGGATTCATGGGGATCTAACGAGTCTTCTTCTTTGACCCAGCCGATAGGATTAATTTTCCTTCCATGTTCAAGGATTTTAGCCTTACTCCTCGTAACAATTTGTGACGGTGAGTACGTCCTTCTGCCCTTTAGTTCTTTACGGAGATGGAGGGGGTGTTTAGAGCATCTTGAGAGGTCAATTTGCAAAGGCCTGAGTTTTGTATCTATGAACACAAATTCCTCCCCGTCGGAATGGGTATAGAGAATGGGTCCATCCCTGTCCTTAGCATGATCTTCCACTGCGTTGAGGGAAAGTATCAAACTTTGGCCATTGATATTTGAAAAGGGGTCTTCTTCCGGCTCTGCTGTTACTACCGTTCCTTGTTCCTCAGTGAAAAGAGCAGCATAAGAGTAAACAGTAGGCACAAAGGCGGGAGCAGTAGGACTAAGGATTTTACGTGGTAGGGGTGGAAATTCTTCGGCTTGACTGGTGGGGAGGCTGTAAAATGGAGCTGCTTTAGTCTGGTAAATAACGAGCTGGTTGTTAGCTTCGGAAGAGGTGGGATCTCCATCAAATCCCTCTGAACTTGTGACATCAACACTTTGGGCATTTACATCTTGCCGGGTTTTTGTAGGCAGGGATAAGAAGTCAGTTCCATTGGGAGTATGTCGCAGGGGTTCCTGGGGTTTCTCAGATACAGACACCTTAGGGCTTACCTCAAGATTAGTAGCTCTCTTGGTGAAAACAGAGAGGGCCTTTATGAAAAGTTTAGGGCCATCAACTATTGAATCAAAGGGGATAATTATGAAAGTACTGCCTTCTCTTCTAATCTCTTGGATTTTCACAAATTTACCCCTTTTATTAGAACCAATGGAAAGGTTTATGGTTCTATTGTCCTCTAACTTGGACACTGCCCAGTATATATATATATATATATATATATATATATATATATATATATATATATATATATATATATATATATATATATATATATATATATATATATATATCTATGTGTGTGTGTATATATATATGTGTGTGTGTGTATATATATATATATATGTATGTATATATATATATATATATATATATATATATATATATATAAGAATGACAAGGAGACTTTTAGCCTAAACAAGGATGACAATGAGGGTTGTGTTGTTAATAAGCTGATAAAATCCTCTTCACAAGCATCTCGAAGCTCAACTATTGATAAGCTATAAATTCATGCATCTCCGTTCTATCCTAGAAATCCTTTGCCAAATAACCTATATTTACAGGGCATGAAAGCCCTAAACCTCAAGGCAGAGGATATCGGAAAGGACTCGATGATGACCAGCAGTTCATCAAAGAGTCCTGTTGGCATGTTGGGGACTAGAGTTGGTGACAGTGATAGTTATCATACATTGGAAGAGGAACAACGAATGTTGTTTGGGGATAGGGTCTCGGAAGAAGTTGATTTAGTAGAGTCTGAGCAAATTCATGAAGATATTTTTTTCAAATTGTGGAAGACTTTGATCATAAAGGGAATGGTAAAAGCAAGAAAAACAGAAAGAAAAAAGGAAATAAAAAGACTAAGTGAATATTTGACTTCCTTTGGTCTTTCGTTCCAACTTCCCTTAGATCGTTGGTCTTTGAAATTGCTCTAGAATTTTATTGGCATCTTTTATCCATGTTTTATTTGGGCTTTTGTTACGGTACCTCATTGATGTAGATGCTGGAACATTGGTTTCTTGTCCTGGGAACGTCCCTATCTGCCTCTTTTTGTTCAAGGGGTCTTCTTACAAATGGGAGCTATGGTTTTTGACAGTTTTTTGGCCGGGTGATCCTACCACAGCTAGTGATTTTTGATAGGGGCTGCTTCTCGACAAGTTGGCCAAGTCACAACCATGATATCTTGTTTTTTTAGATTGGCCGGTTTTTACTTGTTTGATTGTGGCCTTATTTTCATTTGTTGGCTTGTGGAAGCATGTTTTAGTATTCAGTCTCTTTTAGTTTGGCCGATTTGTTGGGTTGGCCACCCCCCCTTGTACTACTTTTTCTTATTCACTTAATAAAAACAATAACATCCTTTTGGTTCAAATTTATGTAGACGACATTATATTCGGTGCTACTAACGAGTCTTTGTGCAAGGAATTCTCAACGCTAATAACTAGCGAATTTGAAATGTCAATGATGGGCGAGCTCACATTCTTTTTGGGACTCCAAGTTAAGCAAATAAAAGATGGCACGTTCATTTGCCAAACTAAATACTGCAAGGAGCTCCTAAAACGGTTTGAAATGGACAGGGCCAAAGCCATGGCGACCCCGATGAGCACGTCTGATCATCTTGACAAAGACGAGAAAGGTAAGGAAGTAGAGGTCAAAAAGTATCGAGCTATGATCGGATCCCTTCTTTATCTTACTACTAGTAGGCCGGATATCATGTTTAGCGTTTGCCTTTGCGCAAGGTATCAATCATGTCCGAAGGAATCGCACTTAACGGCGGTAAAACGGATTATGAAATATCTTGCCGGCACGGTAAACGTTGGACTCTGGTATCCAAAAGGCTCTTCTTGTCATCTCGTTGGTTATTCCGACTCGGACTTTGCCGGTTGCAAATTAGACCGTAAAAGTACGAATGGGACTTGCCACTTACTTGGTAGCTCCCTAGTCTCATGGTTTAGTAAGAAACAAGTCAGTGTTGCGTTATCCACAACCGAAGCGGAGTATGTGGCCGCCGGTAGTTGTTGTGCTCAAATTCTTTGGATGAAGCAACAACTCGTGGACTATGGCCTTAGTATCAATCACGTTCCTCTCCGTTGTGATAATACTAGCGCCATAAGCTTGACGAAGAACCCCGTTCTTCACTCAAGGACGAAACACATTGACATTAGGCATCATTTCATTAGAGATCATGTTCTCAAAGGTGATGTCGAAATTGAGTTTGTTGAAACACAAAACCAATTAGCCGACATTTTCACAAAACCTTTAGAGAAAGAGTCGTTCTTCCGCATTCGAAGTGAACTCGGAATCCTTGACTCCACGATGATCTAAGTTATGCATCTAAACTTGTTAAACGCTTACTAACTTGAGCGTCGGAGAACTTTTTTCTTTTTTGCAGGTACCCCGTTCATGAAATCAGGGGGAACCATGCAAACAGCGCTGTCCAAGAGACCAAACAGCGCTGTTGAGAGAAACAATGTCAACCAGTTTGTGCCAACAGCGTTGTACAAGACGCCAACAGCGCTGTCCCAGGGAGTCCTTTACTATTCACTTTCCAGAAACTTTTTGAACATCGCTGTTCCAACCTAAAACATCGATGTCCTCCAAAACACCTTGTTTTTCAACCAAAACCAGAAACTTTTTAAACAGCGATGTCCCTCTTTCAACATCGATGTCCACTTTTACAAAAAAAAATTCCTATCGTAAAACAGCGATGTAGAGAAACTCAACAGCGCTGTTCTAATGGGTTCAACCCCTTACACAATTCCAGAATGATTTGGAACATCGCTGTAGGGAACCCAACATCGCTGTCCATTTTACACCTGATTTTTAAAACTGGACGCATAACAGCGCTATCCAGAGGCTCAACAGCGCTGTCCCAACAGCGATGTAGCCTTTGGAACATCGCTGTTCTGGATAAATTTTTCAAAAAAAATATCCGTTGGCACCAGCATTAATTGATCCAACAGCCATATTTTTGAAAATCTGGACGTTGGAGACCTCTTTCTCTATAAATTGGGACCTCCTCTCTTCACTTTTACACACACAAACAGAATTCTCTTCAACATCCTTGCTTATTTCATCATTTCTACTCTCTTCTCTTGAGACTTCTTCATCATGGGCAAAGATAAGAACATGGCAGGAGCTTCCGGCAGATCCAAGGCCAAATCCCGGGCGCCTACGACATCCACCGAGGAACGCCTCTACTATGGTGACGGGTCATACCTTTGGTTTGATTCCGAGGAGGAACGCACCCGTTTCCTCACTTTCTTCTCTAAACGAGTTGTGGCTCCTCCACGGATCATCCCGGAGCGCTACCCGGAGCTGCAGGGCTACGACGACCTCGACGCGCAGCTTCATCAGGCCGGCCTTTGGCCCTTTGTCTCCCGGGCTCGGAAGGAGATCAACCCGGCGCTGATTCGGGTGTTCGACTCCAACCTCCGGCGTGTGGGCGACGTGCTCTATTCTTTTGTCAAGAGCACGCCGATAGAACTGTCAATTGAGCAGCTTGGGCGCATCGCCGGCCTCCCCTACTAAGGCGACGACGTCTCCCTATATGGCGGAGAGGACTGGGTGCTCAACAACGAGGGCCTTATCCTCAACGAGCTTGGCATCACCGAGCTCATCCGCCATGCCTCGGGCCGCCCCACCATCCACTCTGCTAACCCCGATGGTCGTCTTCTTCTCTACATCATCTCCCGGATCATCAAACCTAGGAAGCACGGCCACACCATCATGTCCGGTGAAGATCTCAAGCTCATCCATGCGATCGTGCACTCGGCCCCAATCAATTGGGCAAAGTTTGTCATGATCAACATGACGATTTCCGCGTCCACCGACCACGACCACCTCCTCCCGTACCCGTTCGTGGTGATGGACATCCTTGAACGGTTCAAGGTGACCACCACCGTTGGCCCACTCACAAAGGCCACGAAGATTTGGGCGGTCAGCACCCAAACCTTCAAGAAGCGGTCGGACAACGCCGGACCTGCCACTGCCAAGCAACGGCGCCGTTCTGCTGCTGGCTCAGCCGAAGCCCAGGCCCGGGCCAACCTTGCCTCCATCGCCGACTCCCTCAACCGGCTTCACTTTAAAGTTGACGGGATGGATGGCTACCTTGAGCGGCTCGACGAGGCTGTTCAATGCCAATGGCACGCCATGAACGCATACTTCCAACGCGTTAACTACGTCCCCCCACTGTACCATGGCACGTTCTTTGGGCAAGTGTGCGGTGACGAGGACAAAGAGGATGGCTCCTACACCCCGTCAAGCTCCCCGGACGAGGACGAGTTCAACGACGCCGTTGACGGTGATGAGATGGACGTCGACGACGACGAGGAGGAAACCGAAGACGAATACTAGGCCACCCCTAGAATTTCTATCTCTTTTATTTTAATTATCATGTCTCTTAATGCTTCTGTTGTACTCCGCTATTTCCCATCTTCAATAAATAAAAGTTATCTTTTATCTTTTTGTTAATGTCAAAAGGGGGATGAAAAGGGCTATGCATATACTAAGGGGGAACGCCTCTAAAAACGAGACCGTTTGATTTTAATCTGACTAATTTCTTTTAAGCACAAATTAAGGGGGAACTTTTTCACAACTTTTTGAAAATCAAATATCCCTTAATATGCACATCCCCGTCTTGTTTTCCATTATCAAAAAGGGGGAAATTGTTGGAACACGGGTTTACGCCTATGTCGTACTAAGCCGTGTTCGTTTTATGACAGGTTTTGATAATGCCAAACCGCCGTGACAATAACAAGGTTAAACTGAGCAAAACCAAGGCGAAGGAACATGGCATGATGAACGGAGAACCAAGAACCAAGAACCAAGAATCAAGAGCGAAGAATTAGAATTGCATCGAGTCGGTCTTAATGTGATCGAGACCGGCACAAACTTCCAAATCTTGGCTCTCTAAGCTCAATTCATCAAAACCCTTTTTGTATATTCAAAATGATTTTCATAAGTTTTTAAACCTGGCTAAAAACACTTGGAGTTCGCCCAAACCAAAAACCAAGTCATCCAGCGTTTGGCTTTCAGAAACCGACATTCGGCTTTCGGTTTTAAGCATTGGTTTTTGGGCATCCGAACCAACCAAGTGAATTTTAACTTTTTAGGATTGGTTTTTGCTTCTGGGCATATTTAAATAGTTCTCCCACAAAAACGCCTCAAAAACCACCTTCCGTATTTGGTCGTTTAGTGAAAACCATGCTAAACGGCATGAACATGGTTAGTCGTGGTTTTCAACTAAATGACGTTTTTTTTAAAATGTTTTACTTGATTTCTTAGCAAAATGCAATAAAAAAATGTTTTCAATACTTGGTTTTTACTTTGGAGAACTTGTGTTTTTGACATCGGCTAACGACGTGACTAAACCAACCATGGGTCTGGCTAACCAACAGCGCTGTCTGGCTTGGGTAGCTAAAAACATGGTTTGGCATTAAGTCCTCCAACAGCGATGTTGGACATTAGACATCGCTGTTGAGCCAAGGTTGGATTTCCAGACACTTCTGGAACAGCGATGTAGGCCTCCCTACAGCGCTGTCCAACCTAAGCCAAAAATATAGTGCATTGGCAGAAAGTTTCAGGACAGCAATGTTGACCAAGCAACAGCGCTGTCAGGCCAAAACTCCACCTTCAAAGGAAGACCTAAACAGTGATGTTCTAGTATGGAACATCGATGTAGAGACCTGACCGTTGGAAGGAATTTAAGGCTAAAACTTTCCTTGTTTGGAAGTCAACAGCCAAAACAGCGATGTAGGGATTTTAGACATCGCATTTTGGCATGACCGTTGGTTCCCATTTTTCAAAACGCAAGCCTAGAACAGCGATGTCCAAGCCTAGGACAGCGCTGTCTAGGTGAATTTCAACAGATCCAATCTTGATCAAATCCCACAAATTGTGCCAATCACCCCTTAAATACTTTGGTCCGTTGGAGCCTATTTTTCTACTATAAAATGGGGTGTTTGGGTCTGTTTTACAAATAACATTACTTCACAACTCCTACTCTTTCATTGCAAATCATTCTTCAATTATTCATAGCTTTTGAGAGCCATTTTTTGTGAAGCTTGTGTTATGTTCTTGAGCGTTCTTAGTTTACTCATTATCCACTCTAAAAGAGAGTATTGTTCTTGAGTGTTTTTAGTGTTCTTAAACACTTGACAAGAGAAGGTATTTCTCTTGTTGGTCGAAGGAAGGGCTGTTTCCTTCAAAGGTTCGTTGAGGTTCGTGTGACTCGAATTCTCAAGTTGTACGGGTTTGTTAAGCACCGTTAAGCTTAACGAGGTAGTAGTGTAGCTCGAGAGAGTCTCTCGGGAGGCTGGATTAGCCACAAGTTGTGGTGAACCAGGGTAAAATCGGTGTGCCTCTTACTCTTCTCTTTACTTCTCGTTTATTCATTTTTTATTCCTACAATTTTTGATCAAACGCTATTCACCCCCCCCCTCTAGCGTTAGTCTCTTATTCTAACAGACCTTAGTCTTAGTATCGTTGAGTCCGTCTTTATTGTGATCAAGACCGACCCAATATTTACACCTTGGCTCTTTAGGCTAAAATCTTTCAATGCATTTATTACATCATAAAAATGTTTTTCAAACTTGTTTAAGTCATTAAAAACACTTGGTGTTTACCCAAACCCAAAACCAAGCCATCCAGTGTTCGGCTTTCAGAAACCAGCATTCGGCTTTCGGTTATCGACATTGGTTTTTGGCATCCGAACCAACCAAGTGGTTTTCAGCATTTTTTGATTGGTTTCCACTCTTTGGCATGTTTAAACGGTTCTCCAACAAAAACACTTTGAAAACCATCTTTCGCTTTTGGTCGTTTGACAAAAACCACGCAAAACGGCGTAAACTTGGCTGGCAATGGTTTTTACTCAAATGACGTGGTTTTTAAAGTAACTCACTTGATTTCTTAGCCAAATACATCAAATAAGTGTTTCAAACACTTGGTTTTTATTTTGGATAACTTTGGATTTTTGGGTCGGTTTTTTGCATCGGTTGTCTAGGCCGTGGTTAAGGCAAACACCATGGGTTTTTGGCTAACCACCAACCTAGCGGGGTGCAGCAAGAAATCTTACGATAATCATCAGGATTGACGGCACAGTACAGCATATTGATAGCCTTGGCGTAGTTCTCCACCTTTTTGATGTCCTCGGCATCAAATTCGTCCTCGGTCTTTGGAACCGTGGTTTCTCCAACTTTCTTCATTGGAATTTGTTCTCCATTTTTGATGACCAACCATAATTGGAAGTTGGTGGAACGGATGTAGATTCTCATACGTTCCTTCCCATAGGAATAGTTGGTGCCATCAAAGAGTGGTGGCCTAGACGTAGACTGACCTTCTCCAATTCCTGCATAGAGATTTCTAGAAGAAGAACCCATGATCGCTTACTCTCAAACGGTTAAGTTTGGACGCGAGTTAGGCTCCGATACCAATTGTTAGAATAAAAGACCATTGCTAGAGGGGGGGTGAATAGCGTTTGTCGGAGAAATCGCAGGAATTGAAAATTTAAAAGAGAAGTAAAGAGAAGAGTAAGAGGCACACCGAATTTTACCCTGGTTCACCACAACTTGTGGCTAATCCAGCCTCCCGAGAGACTCTCTTGAGCTACACTACTAACTCGTTAAGCTTACGGGTGCTTAACAAACCGTTACAACTTGAGAGTTCGAGTCACACGAACCTCAACGAATCCTTCAAAGGAAACAGACCTTCCTTTGAATCAACCGAGAGAGAGATAATATCTCTCAACGTGTCTAAGAACACAAGTACACTCAAGAACGAGACTCTCTTATAGAGTAGATTATGAGTAAACTAAGTACGCTCAAGAACAACTCAACCTTCACACAAGTGGCTCTAGAAAGCTATGGAAAATGATGATATTTGAATGCAATGAAAGTATAGATGTTGTGAAGTGAATTGGTGAGAAAAGCAGACCCAAACACCCCTTTTTATAGTGCAAAATTAGGCTCCAACGGACCAATGCATTAAAGGAGTGATTAGCTTGATTTATGGGATTGAAAAGATTTGGGATCTGCAGAATATTGGCTTCCCATCGATGTTTAGAATCAACCATCGCTGGTAAGCCAATTTTTCTTCTGTTTTGAAGTCAACGGTCACCTACCCATCGATGGGTACAAGCTTCCCATCGCTGGGTGGGAGGTTGACTTCCAAACAAGGAAAGAATCAACCTTTAATGACCACCAACGGTCATGCCTTCCCATCGATGGTATACCCTTACCATCGCTGGGTTCCCATCGATGGGATAGACTTCCCATCGCTGGGCAAGGTCGTTCTGCCTTGTGGTAATTTTGCACCGANATCTTCCCATCGCTGGGTGAGTGGTTAGTCAAGAACCCATGGTTTTTGCCTTAACCACGGCCTAGCCAACCGATGCGAAACCCGACCGAAAAATTCAAAGTTCTCCAAAATAAAAACCAAGTGTTTAAAACACTTATTTGATGTATTTGGCTAATAAATCGAGTAAGACACTTTAAAAACCACGTCATTTAAGTGTAAACCACGGCTAGCCAAGTTTTATGCCGTTTTGAATGATTTTTGTCAAACGATCAAAAGCGAAAGATGGTTTTCAAGGTGTTTTTGTTGGAGAACCGTTTAAACATGCCAAAGAGTAAAAAAAATCACAAAAAGTTGAAAATCACTTGGTTGGTTCGGACGCCAAAAACCATAGCCGATAACCGAGAGCCGAACGCCAGTTTCTGAAACCCGAACGCCAGATGGCTTGGTTTTTGGTTTGGGCAATCACCAAGTGTTTTTAATGACTTAAACATGTTTGAAAAGCATTTTTATGATTTAATAAGTGCAATGAAGGTTTTTTAGCCTAAAGAGCCAAGGTGTAAAGATTGGGTCGGTCTTGATCACAATGAAGACCGACTCAACGACACTAAGACTAAGGTCTTCGTTCTTGGTCTTCTTTTAGCTCTTGTTCTTGTCTTCCTTCTTCGCCTTGTATATTCAAAGTTTGACTTGATCACGGCGGTTTGGCATTATCAAAACCTGTCATAAAAACAAACATGGCTTTAGTACAAAAACGTGACATGCCCGTGTTTCAACAAAAATGTCCAAACAAATGGTTAGTTGAAATGTATAGATTAAAATGGGTCAAGAAGGGTTCTAACCGGTCGGAATCCAAGAATATTGGATATCAAAAGAAACCCTTTTTGCAGGAAAATAAAAGAAATGATGGTGGATACTATTTCTTTTATTATGACGAAAAACGAAAAGTCCATATACCACTTTCGAAACCTACCAAGACGAAACCCGTATATCGACATAGGGTATTCGTCGATAAGAACCCCAAACCTAAGTCAAAAGTAAATTCCTTTTTGACTAGGTGAAAAATACCACTTGGGTTGTGGATAGTGGATGCTCGAGACACATGACCGAAACAAGAAAATGGTTCACAAGTCTCAAGAAGAAAAGTCATGGACATGTAACTCTTGG